GAACGTGTGTCTGATGTTTGAGGTTACACAGCTTTATCAGTCAGTCCAGATGCAGAGCTCTTTTGTGGGTGTCAGTTTGTTTCAATTACTGATATAAATCTGGAATCAATGGAGACCTTGTGTGTTGGTGTGTGTGTGTGTGTGTGTGTGTGTTTCCCTCACATGAGTAATTGAATTCCATGGCCTAGTTTTTCCTGAGATGTCCAGTTGGTTTTGTCCTTATTTCAATATTCAAACTCTTGGACTGCCACCTTATGTAAGCGCAGGTCACCCTTCTCCACGCACACACACAAACACAGTCTCTTTTTGGTCGTATAATACCTTGTGTGACATTACACGTGTGATCTCAGCTTGGAGGTTTGGGACCAATTCCACTTTCTGCTGCAAGGATTCAGGTCAGGAATCTAAAAGTGCTCTGGTACCATTTCCTGCGGCACCAAGCGTCTTTAATCGCATTACCTAAATCAGAGTAGGTCTTCTGTCCTCAAACCGGCCTCTAATATTTACACTGAAAGCTCAGGGACCCGAGTAGGAGGATGCAACGGCTAGTTTGGGCTGTGAAACTTCAAATCTGTATGTGCTTTGTGTCTGTTAGTAACAGTGTGTGTTGCCCTATGCATGCTCACTAGTTGTAACCCAGTAGAACAGGCTTAACTCTGCCCCTGGAATGTCAGGAAAATCACTAAATGAAGTTTAGGATGTTTTCCATATGAGAGAGACACTGGGAATGTCTGAATATATGAGTTATTTTAACACTTAAAGCAATTTACTGAAATACTTTTGATAACTTGTTATGTTAGTGACGTGAGAATTGTAACTTGTTTTACTGATTATGAGTCACTCTGGGTAGATATATCAGCTACATGCTGAAAACAAAATATCCCTGTAAAGGGCAGCAGTCTCTCTGAAGACAGGGAATTAGATAAATTATCAGAGAGAGTCAGGAAATATCAGGGAACTTTTATAACTCTGTTTATATACTGTATTTCGCAACATATGTACATATTTATTGCATCAGATGGTTTTCAATCGAACTAGAGTGACAGCCAGACTGAAATACATCAACAGACGGAGGTCATGGAGTTAGAGCTCCTGTGTGATTGTAGATGTAGTGGGTCAGTATGTTTGAATAAAGGCCTTGCCTCTAACAGGTAAGCACAGCCCATTGCATTTTATTACACAATCATGCTGTAGTGTTTGTGTGTTTTAGGGGTGTTGGAGAGCAGAATGTTGCATAATGAGTTGCTGGATTTCAGCATGTCTGTCAATGTCAAAGTGTAACTCAAAGAGAAGAAGAGAACTCCACTGCCTGTACATTTAAAATACCAAGTTAAGTGACAAGGTTGTAACATCTGTTAGAAAAACAACTCTTTCCTGTATTGTGCAATTATATGCAGCACTGTGAAAGAGCCTCTTCTGTTCTATAGGTCTATATTTTGTATCTCTACCAGCTGCTGTTCTTTAGCTGAGCCTGATCTTAAAACCTACTCTTGTATGCTAATCAGGGTTCAGTGTAGTGAAGACTTAAATCGTCACATTCAGTCAGTTTAACTAAGTCAGCTCAGTTTTTTTTTTTAACACAAGCAATTATTTAACACTCACAGTGATAAACATTATTCTAGATTGAGTAATATGAAATAGCAAAAAGAATAGAGGCACTGTTAAAAACACATGCAACTTTTTGTTTTTTTAAATACAAAATACAATCGAAGACTGTATGAAATGATTTGCACCATAATTTCCGTGAAATACAAGCAACCTAGTGGTTTTGCACTAATGGTGTTCAAGTGGAAAGTTGAACATCAGGGAGAAAATTAAAAAAAATAAAATTGTACTTACTGGCAGTTTGAGTTTGTTAACCTGCAGAAATCAGTATCAAACAATTGCATCACATACAGGAAGCTTGGAAAATATGACATCACCAATGTCTTTAGTTGAGGCATTAATGAAGGAGAATTCTTGAAGGCATTAAATGAGTATGTAAGAGGAGGTGGAAACACAAGTGAGTGGTGGGTTTTAGGGACTTTGGGGTGCTTTCGACTCTCAAAACCAAAATTGCAAAATCTGGAGGTGTTTAAAATCTCAGGAAACACATGCTATTCTCTCCCTCTCTTTCTATGTTTCTCATGCATTCAATGAGAAAATAATAATGTTTTAATGATTAATCTAGGACTGTTTCATGTACACACGTACACACACACACACACACACACACACACACACAAGTGGGCCTAGAGGGAAGTTGTTCCTTTTTAAATATTGTTTTGTCATGTTGTGTATCACTAAGAACATTCAGTGTCAGCAACCACATCTACTTAGTCAAATAATTTTGAAAGGCCTGCTTTGGTCCTATTTCACTGTGTGAAACATGAGCTATGTAAATTTAAGGTTGGACTGATGTGAAAATTAAGTGTAACATGATTGGGGAAATTCAGAGTCCTTTTTACACCCAGACAAAGAGGTAAACAGTTTTTGACATTAAAGCGGTCCAATTAAACTATTGAGCTAAGACGTCATTATGACATAGATATGCATATTGACATATTATTGCTATCAGGTAAAACTTTCATTTCCAGCAGCCCTGTAGGCCACTTCTTGATTTATCGCTGAAAGTAATACATCATAGTGAGTAAAATTGGATTCATTAATAGATTGGGGACATCCAAGACACCTCACAGCATCATGATTGTGTAAGAGGTCGGTGCTTGCAGGGGAACATTTAATTTGTCTGTATTGTTTTGTTACAATAAAATTATTATTAACCAGCCTGCAGAGTCCAAGCTGCTCCTTCTTCCCACACAGATAACAACAGAATGAGTCTTAGCTCTCTTATCTGCTGGGGACTTGTCTGTCAGATAGATTACAGTGTGACAGCAGTTCCTGGGTCACAGAAGTCAAGGGTTAACCCATGGGTCAGTGAGTAGGACAGGTAATGGCTGCCTTGGTAAGGACTGAATAAACAGTCAGTTCAGTTTCCCTCATGGGTTCTGGTTTTTATTCTTGAAAGAAATCTGCAATTTTATATATTTTATATACCCACTCTCCAGGATGTTCCCCATTTGCCCCTTTTTAATACTACCAAATGACTGTCATGTCATTGTTATATTGTTATCAAACCTTTATTTTACAAGAGCAGTAAACAAACTCACAGCAATGGAGTAAAAAAAGATCAAATGGCTGTTTTGTAAAGAACTGCGACAGTAGAAAATTAGTTACAGTAGTCATATTGATAATGGTGATAATAGTGTTACAGTCTACAGTGAATAAGTGTCATTTATTGTTAGTGTGTCAGATCTGTAAACACCAGACTGCAGCAGACTGTGAGGAAGCGTATGAGTTGAATACAAAGCAGAAAGAAAGGACCCTTATTGATTTTATTTTCTAGAAAAATCAATTTGTCACAGCAGCAACATTTGAGCTACAGAACACAATATAATTAAATGCTTAAATAAAGCTTAAATAATAACTGTACAGTATGTTCCTCTGATTGCTCCTAAATGGCAGTGATCTAACCTGTACTGCTGTTCTTAAACACGGACCATCTTATAACACAAGAGGTGATGCATGATGAGGTTTTTTTTCCATCCCTAAAGGACACACACACACGTGTGCACACACACACACACACACACCCACGCACACATAC